GCGGCACCGGCAGCCACTGCGCATGCGGAGGAAGGGCTGCCCGCCGATCCCCGAAGGCATCGATCGCAGGGAGGAGCGCCGAGCCGCAGGAGCCGGGCTGCCAGGGGGCAGAAGAGAGCGCCGAAGCATGGATTCCCGGGGCGGAGTGCCGAGTCATCGATGCTGCCATGGGGCAGAGGCTGCAGCTGGGGCAGGGGGGGTCAGGCTGCAGGGAAGGGGTGGTTTGCAGGGGTGAGGGGCAGCATTGCAACAGACCCCAAGCCTCCCCGGCTGCAAAAGGCAGAGATGGGCTTCAGAATAACCTGGCTTGCTTGCAGGGTGCCTACCGTATTTACTGGCATACCATGCGCCACCCCAACAAGACATGCTGCTGTTGTGGGAAGGCAGATTTTTCCTTTGAACCGAACTGTTTGGTCTCAGTTTTCTCAAGTATCAATTTCTAATTTTGGAGGGGGGAAAGGTGCATGTGTAGAAGGTGCAAGTACAGTTGTAGTGTCAGGTGCTTTCCCAAGCCGTTAGCATCATGCTGGGCTCCTGCTTTCAAACTTTTCTCCACCCCTGGGAGGGCTGGCAGCTTCTTGAGATCTGAGACTGCATTTTAAGTGGGAGCAGAGAGCTTAGATCATCAAGTGTCTCCATTACGAAGCCAAGGTCGTGACAGCTGCACACAGGCTTGGTTCGAGCGAATGCATGGCTGCCGTTGCTGCTTTCAACTGAACAGTGACATGCTCGTTGCTTGGTACGCAGGACTTTATTCCCCAAGTAAATACTGTGATTGAGTTTGTCATAAAACTGAACCAAGTTCTTAACAAGCGTGTTAATGGGACCTCTCTCTTCACTCCCGGCAGTCTTCAGTCCCAGAACTGCAGCATATTTCTGCTTGGCTGTCCCCCTCTCCTCTCCTGTTATTGTTGACTGGCTCATTGCTTTGAGGTGCCTGCTCCGACCTGGTGGCTGGACCTCTCCTTTGACAGCCTGGGCATCTTGACATCCAAGATACACATCACAGGCCCTCAGCAGAGGTGTTAAGCAGGAGCCTGGAGAAGCTGCTGCCATTTCTGCAGACCCTGGGGTCACCCTGCCATTGCCTCCATGCAGCAGCCAGGATGGCTGTCACACACGTGCTACAAGCCTACTCTCTCACAGCATCAGGATAAGTGAAACTAGAAGATTGAAAATCCTTGAGTGGTTTGGCTCGGGCAGGGGGAGGAAGCTCCTTGGCTCTGTTGTCAGCTGGGTTGATACATGCTGAAATGCATCCTCTGGGAAGAGAGCATTTCAGGCAGAGAGCACATCCCCAGTCCTGGCGGGAGCTAAGAAAACTTTCTGAATGAGACCCAGTGCAGCCTGAATTCCTGACACTGAAAATGGCCTGATGCAGAAGTAGAGTCCGGCCTAATGCACCCTCATCTAAAAAGAAGGTTGACTCTGAAGCCTAATGGTGGGGTTACCTAGCACTCCTTGCACTGCTGAGTGTTTCAGCAGACATGTCCAGCTGCTGTGGGAGTGCAGGGGGTAGGCGGGCCTGGCACTGAACAGCTTTGCTTTTCCCTTTTTACTGATCCAATCCCGAAGGTGCACCTATGGGGTAGGCTTTTCCAGCCACTCAAGTCAGTAAGAGCCTGGAGGTCACGGGATCTGGGTCCTTATTATCACCACACGCATCGCTCAGCCCAGCAGTAGAATCATAAAATCACAGACAATGGGGGTTGGAGGGACCTCGGGAGGTCACATCTCATCCAAGCCCCTGCTCCAAGCAGGACCAGCCCCAACTATGTTCTCCCAGCTAAGGCTTTGTTGAGCCAGACATTAAAAACCTCCAAGGATGGAGACTCCTCCACCTCTCTGGGTAACCTGTCCCAGTGCTTCACCACCCTCCTTGTGAGAAAGTTTTTCCTAATATCCAACCTCAACTTCCCTTGCTGCAGCTTGAGCCCATTGCTCCTTCTGTTGTCTGCCCCCACTGAGACCAGCCCAGCCCCATCCTCTTTGCAACCCCCCTGCAGTGAGTTGAAGGCTGCTATTCAATCCCCCTCTCTTTTGCAGACTAAATTAGAGCAGTTCCCTCAGCCTCTCCTCACCAGTCCTGTCCCCCAGCCCCCAAACCATTTTCATTGCCCTCCACTGGACTTTCTCCAACTTGTGCACATCCTTTCTGTAGTGGGGGGGCCACAGCCGGACACAGGACTCCAGACGTGGCCTCACCAGTGCTGAATAGAGGGAAGAATCACTGCCCTCCATCTGCTGGCAACACTCCTACCAACACAGCCCAGGATGCTAGTAGCCTTCTTGGCATCAAGGGTAATTCAAGGTCTCCTTTGCACTTCATAGCTTGCTCAGTGCAGCCACTTCTGGTGAGACGACACGAACAGCCGGTCCTGCTGGAGAAGCAAAGTGCATTCAGGAAGAGAAACAAAGCACCCGGTCTCCGGACCCAGCTGCAGATCTGGGGAAACTCAGGTCCTGGCAGA